GATTAGTGAAGGCTGACAGTAGAATTACATTCTAAGGGTCTATGTGCACAAGGGATCCTCAGTCTTGGAGCGTAAAGAGTAGAAAGCTTATTAGGCAGTATTATAGGGATGATTATGCCAACATTCTTGTATTAGGTCTATATATGTGATTTCTTGAAAGAGACGCTAAGTGAAGAGTTATATGATTAGAAGCTAAAGTAGATTGACTGATACCGCAATGTTATAGACATTTGATAAGGGTTAAGTTATTTATTAGTAGCCAAGTTATGATTATGAGATCGATGAAGAGTTGTGCTTTTAAATAAAGCATTAAAGTAAGGATAGTTTCTTTTAGAGATAGTAATGTAATGAAACTTTCCCAGATGATGTTCTTAGTGATATAGAAAGAGAACACCGAGAGCTAATGATTCAATGTATGCGAACAGGTAGATTTATTTGTGTTTAATACTTGAAGAGTATTGTTATGCCATTTGATCTTATATATGTTATTGTAAGAAAAGACTGTTATTGTAGAAGATTAAGTAATAAAGACTTTGTTTTTGCCACGCATCTCAGTCAACACCTTTCTTATTTTGTCTTCCTTTCATAGGTATGCCCCCTCCCTCGGGGTGTGGGCGCTACAAATTTGGCGACCTTGCCAGGACGGCCATCGTCGAAGAGACACGAGGACGATGTGTCGTCCTATGACACGAACAGTTGGATAATCGAAGAAGCAGTGATGTAACGATTAGGATAAAAAGGACCAGAAGTCGGAGAGCCGGAGAAGACCATCCCTGATTGGAAATGAGGTTGGCTCAGCATCAGAGAGAATGGGACAAGCTGCAGAGAGGAGAAAAGGCTACTACGAGCGTGCAGTATGCAGCAGGGTGCTACAGCAAGGAGATATGGTCCTGGTGCGAAGTCTGGCCCCGCCAGGTGGCCAAGGAAAGCTTCACCCTTACTGGGAGGAAATAGATGGCGGAGCAGTGAGTGGAGTCAAGGATGTCCAGGGGTTCTCCAAGCCGCCATCCTCAACAGCCCAGCCCCCAGCACCGTTCCAGTACCGGTATGACCCACCATCCTACACCCATCAAAGGCCATTACAGATACAGACGCCAGTAGCCCACCAGCAACCAACCCACTACCAGCGTTAGATGACAGAAGACCAACTTCAATTTTTCCAGCGAGCGAGTCAATCATTCGACCCGCGAGGAATGCCTCAAACAGATTCTTTTTTTTTTACAGTAGATGCATCGATGTGTAGAATCATGTGTGTTGTTTAGTTAACCAGAAATACAAGTAACGCGAAGGAGTAAGATGAAACAAGTTGTAAATCGTTTCATGAATTGTGGTGTATAAGGAAACAAGCGATGACACTCGATAGTGATCAATTGATCTATGTGATAAAGTCTTCGGGATGAGTCGCGAGCTTCCCAAGAAACCTTCACCGTTTGTCAGGCGCGCCCGTAGAATGGGTTAATGTTTCGCAAAGTTAATTTGTATGAAAGGAAAAGCCACGTTATTCTGATATGATATTGCAATAGGTAATTCTGAAGACTTTGAGTACTAGTATTAGGTTTCGCTATAAAGATTTGCAACACGTTAATGAACTCGATGTACTACATGTATTCCACAGAAAAATTGGAGCACGATGATCTGTCAGCGTAGCGAGGACATAGACTCTCATGGACTTTGGTGATAAGTCTCACCTCCCTGATTTGTCCTAAGTTCGATCAGGACGACATTGAACGAGAACTAAATGAACATTAGATTGTTGTGCTATATTAATGAATTGTTATAAATGTTTGAAAGTTGAAATGTCCAGGAGACATTTATTTTTGGAGGGGAAGGTGTGGAGCCCCACAGAATACCCCCCCCCCCTATTTTTTTGTATATCTTTGACTATATGTATGACACAATTATATTTATAGCCCCCATATAGTCCCTCCTCTTAGTTAATTAGGTACCCCCTCCTGCGAGAGTGGCCTCACCCACAACTAACCTAAACACACCAGCTGGGATACCAGGAGTGGCTTCTCACTTTGTTTTGCCATGCATCCTAGTCAACACTTTTCTTATTTTGTCTTCCTTTAATAGGTAAGAAAGAATCTTTTATTATTCAATTGTGTTATATTCTTGTTCTCCATAATAATTATGTGTATTTCTAAACTATTATAGTTCACTATTCATATATCTTGTATTACTGTATAAAAAGAGATATTAATGATCTTTGCCAATGACTTGTTGGATTATATGACATGTGAACTATGAGAGGAAATATAAGAAATGCCATGTGGGCAGAGATGCCATGTGGGGAGAGATAATGTCATTGATGAACATAGTAATCACTTGTAGAAATGATAGGAAAGTATTATCGTGTGTGTGAGATTGATGATTATGTTGTTTGATTTAGACAACATTTTAAGTAAGTTTTGAGAAGAGAATATACTTTATTACTGTCAGTATATTTGTCTTTTGCTCGATATTCATGTGTATATATATATTCTTAGCCAAGGACATGTGCCATTTACTATGCATTATGCCAAAGCACATTGTTATATATTCTAGTTCGAGTTAGATACAGTTTGAATAGCGAAATGAGTTGTTCAAGTCCAGATTATCTTTAACTTACAGTATTATGGTATGAGTGAGTGTGGACGCACCATGTGTACAATACTAGTGTGTTATTAGGATATGGCAGTGCGTGCAATGTGAACACAACTTCTTATCAAAGTTCTTAATCCCCTCTCCCCCCAAGCTTGACCATCCACTGCAATGCATTACACGCACACAGTGTAGATAGAGTATATGCTATACCCAAATGCTATGTTGAGAAGTGTTAGAGATAGAATGTGTTTGTTTTTGACCCATGCTGGAAAATGGTATCTTAGGCGGGAATGAAAGTTTGGTAGAGTCAGCAAGATTGCTATATGAGAAGACAAAGGATTTCTGTTGGGGAATACGCTTGTTGAGAAACACATGGTCACACTGTCTAGTATTTAGTTAGAGTTGGTTTGGTTGATGAAATATTATAGTTGAAGACTTACATAACCAGTGTGAAATTCATTGTATTATCATATTGTTAGGAATGATAATTCAGGCTAAATGTTATTGGGGATTACTCTCTCTCTCTCTCTCTCTCTCTCTCTCTCTCTCTCTCTCTCTCTCTTATATATATATCCCTCTCTCTCTCTCCCCCTCTCTCTTTATATTCTCTCCCTCTCTTTCTCTCTTTCTCTCTCTCTCTCTCTCTGTATGGTTCACCCTTTCTCTTTCACTCTCACTTTGCTTTGTATATAACCATGATATGAATTTACATGTATTTAGTAAAACTATCGGTGGTTGATTAGAATTAGAATATGAACTATAAATATGTATGTGTAGATGAGATTACAGTAAGAGGAAAGCGTAATATTGGTTGTTAGTTTGCTAGAGCTATATAATTAGTGCAGACTGCAGACTAAGACTATTTGCCAGTTCTGTGAATATTGTAATGAGTTTAGGATATAAGTTGTTGAAGATGTATCTTTTCAAGTTCAGTAATCTCGCTGAAAAAGATAGTATTAGATCAAAGTGATGCAGATGACTATTGGAAAATACATGAGCTATAGTTAAGGAAGAGTTATAAGTTTATTCAGTATTAATGTGAAGTCCTGAGACAAGAAGTAACTTGTGAATTTAGGGATTAGTGAAGGCTGACAGTAGAATTACATTCTAAGGGTCTATGTGCACAAGGGATCCTCAGTCTTGGAGCGTAAAGAGTAGAAAGCTTATTAGGCAGTATTATAGGGATGATTATGCCAACATTCTTGTATTAGGTCTATATATGTGATTTCTTGAAAGAGACGCTAAGTGAAGAGTTATATGATTAGAAGCTAAAGTAGATTGACTGATACCGCAATGTTATAGACATTTGATAAGGGTTAAGTTATTTATTAGTAGCCAAGTTATGATTATGAGATCGATGAAGAGTTGTGCTTTTAAATAAAGCATTAAAGTAAGGATAGTTTCTTTTAGAGATAGTAATGTAATGAAACTTTCCCAGATGATGTTCTTAGTGATATAGAAAGAGAACACCGAGAGCTAATGATTCAATGTATGCGAACAGGTAGATTTATTTGTGTTTAATACTTGAAGAGTATTGTTATGCCATTTGATCTTATATATGTTATTGTAAGAAAAGACTGTTATTGTAGAAGATTAAGTAATAAAGACTTTGTTTTTGCCACGCATCTCAGTCAACACCTTTCTTATTTTGTCTTCCTTTCATAGGTATGCCCCCTCCCTCGGGGTGTGGGCGCTACACAGTAAAAGTAAAAATGCACTTCACATTTCTGTATATTATAACAAACCGATTACCAGTGGCTTTTTGTGTTTTGAAATGAATGGGAAGGTTGTCCAGCACTATGTCACAGTGACATTAATACTGATCCTGCCAATATGAAGTGCCAATACGTATCGTAATTACAACTTTTAAAAAATTCATAACTCTCTTATATTCGTCCAATTTCATTCAAAATTTCATCAGTCTGCTTCTCTGAGCTTTCTACTCTCTTTTAGAGTACCGGTAGTGGTCTATTATGGTAGTGATTTTCCTTTAAAGGTAAAGACCAGTTTTGGAAATGACCCCCTCTCAAAAAATGAAGCGGAAGCTCTTATTACCAATCATGTGAAAGAATATGTTTTGAATAATACGTGATCATACAAATTTTGCCAAGAAACCGCCTACTAATTGATATATTTGGTAAATTATTATATCTATTTGGACCTGATAGATATAACGCACGTGTCGCGCACGTGTGTGTAGTCCCATATTATCTTTCTGTGTACAGTGCTTGTAACTTTACCAAGACTGGGCCAAAATTTCTCATCATTTTGATGATTCCAAAACCTTGCAGTAGGCCTACACGCCAATACTTATATGCTAGATGATCAACCTTTTCTGATCGATTCCACAACGTTTCTTTCACAATGCAATCGCATGACCATAACTGGTCTTTATCTTTAACTATGTTACTTACAGATGTTAGATGAAGAGCTAGGGTTGGATCAAAGAACCCATAGGAGGCACTTCCCCATGCAATAGTAATAAGCACAGGCCACACAGCAGGTATCTTCAGTACCTCTAGAACAGATCCCGGGCGACTGTCCTCTTCCCTCGATGATGCTGCCAAAATTACAAGGATTTCTGACATCAAATTGGCAACAATGGTATATTATTCCTATTCATGTATTACAATACAGTAATGTGACCCCCAAAAAAACATGTACATGTATCTCAAAAGAAAATACACATGAATAGATAATGTATTGAAGAGCAAATAAATTACAAATCATTACGGTAAGACTGAATAAGCTTATCAATTTGTCATTGTTTCAAAAATTGAAGATTCTAATGATTATTTTCCATTTTGAATACCTGATGTCCAAAAAATTTGAAGAAATTTGGTCGGTTTTCTTGTTCCTATTATGCTAGTTTGGAAGAATATCATATAGCCAGGGTAATGATATGATTGCAGGGCCCTCGGGGAGAATTGTATGAATACTGATGAGGCTACCCTAGGTAAACAAGACATATTATATTGTTGTTATTATTATCATAATCAAACACTTGGCCGGAACCCAAGTTTATCTTTTACCAAAAGTTACTTACATGTACTTGGAATGATGAATATATTCAGGATGGTAAACACTATAGATGAACAGCCTAAGACTATGAATGGAAGCTCGTAGCCTCCGATCTATATGAAAAACAATAGGAGAGAGAAAGAGAGAGAGAGAGAGAGAGAGAGAGGGGGAGAGAGAGGGGGGGGTGGGGGAGAGAGAGAGAGAGAAAGGGTGACAGGATAGAGAGTGAAAGAGAGAGTATCTGTTAGTTCTGGGGAGGAAATGATTGTTATGCTTTTCAGCCTCAAATATCTTTCTTTTAAAAAATCAATCAATCCACAATTTAGATTTATTTTCAGTTTTAACAATGTGCTCTTCAAGTGCAATATTAAATGCGGAAGATGTAGATCAATTTTTTTTTAAATGAAAACAAATGCAACAAAATTATAATATCATATAAGTTTAAATGCATGTTTATCCCATACAAATGATGTTCATTATCAGAATTCACAAACCTATCTATTATTTCAAAGAACAAGAAGTAAAAACACTGTAGCATGACTGGGGAGATAATAATTTCCTGCCACAATACTCAAGGGTTAAAGTCTACTACCGGTAATCTACTTACATTTACTTACAAAATAAACTATTAATCTTACTTCGTAAAATAAACTTACGTCATAGTGAAAATTGATAAACATTAGCGTTTTGTAAAACAAACTAATAAACTCACTTCTCAAAATGAACTAAAAACTTACTCCATAAAATAAACTACCAAGAGGGGGACCAACTGCAAATCCAAGGCCAAGAAATAACTCAAGAAAACCCTGAATAAGAGAAAAAGATAAACATTAATTATCTCTACAAAGTTTATTACAACTTGGTAGCATCATAGACGTAATACTATGGTAGCATTGATATCACTTTAACATATAATTATTAGTAGTGATATTAGAAGAAGTTTATCAAGGTAATGGTGTTAAATCAGCTGAATTATTTATACCCCTTTTACATTTGATGTGTTTTGTGTTTTTGTAACTCAAGAATGGTACTGGTTGAATTATAGGGCCTTCGTTGAATACTTTTAGATATCACCTTTAATATGTCACATTCTCAAGAAACATAAAAGGGCCAAATCAATTTTCTACATACAATAAAGAACTACAGAACTCTTTAAGGGTATGAATAATTTAGTTATTAAATGTATATGTACATATTTTGTGGTAGCTGCATTTTTAGAAGCAATAATAGCAGCAGAAGTGTAGACCAGCACCAGGGCTCAAATTAATTTTTTGTCCACGGGGGCTCTTCCCCGAAAAAAGAGCCCCCGTGAGCCTTCTCACGGGGGCTCTTTTATTACTGACGGGGGCTCTTTTTTATACAAATATCCATTTAATTGGTACCTATGATACTCCTCAATTATTTGCTATTTCATCATTATCATTTCAATCAGCATTTTCCCTCTTACAAATTTACAAGCTACATAGCTGTTACTGGCCTGTGTATATAATATATACACATACAACACTGATCTTTATGATGTCTTTAACGTGACATATCTTCTTCTCCCCTTGCAAACGAAAAAGAAAACATGGTCATTAAAAGGGATTAAGCGACAAATAATGATTGTGATTCAAATTGATGCGAATATTTGTTTGAATAAGCACTGCTATTCACCCGAATCTTCTTTGTAAAAACAACTTTTACAAATCTCAGCCATGCTTACTGAGTTGAGACGTTCCATTCAATTTAAAATACCCATTACATAATACACTGCTCCTAATCTCAAAGTGATCTTACAGCACAGTGGCAGAATTGCATGGCTGAGATTTGTAAAAGTTGTTTTTACAAAGAAGATTCTGGTGAAAAGCATTGCTTATTCAAAAAAATCCTTGCATCAATTTGAATCACAATGATTATTTGTCGCATGGTCCTTTTATTAAATAACCTTGTTTTCTGTTTTGTTTGCAGAGGGAGAAGAAGCTATGTCACGTTAAGAAATCATAAAGATCAGTTGTATTATGCGTATATTATGATACCAGAACAAAATGTTGATTATCAGAATGTCATTTTGGAATACCTCTATACAAATACCACATTGTCTTTAGTCCGTATCAGTATTAGTATGATCCAATATAAAGCTATTATTCTTTATTTAATTCAGTATAATGCTTTTCCTCAAAAATAGTTTTGCTATTTTTTTAGGGTCGAGACGCTAAGAAATGGTTTCAAATGTACATTACACGAACCCTGAACCATTGCAAAATGATGGTGTTTCTCTCTCTCTCTCTCTCTCTCTCTTTATTTTAATCATGCATTATCAACTACATATAAAGCAGCAACCAAAAACTTAGGGTTATCTGAGATAGGTGAAAGTAAGAGTTAAAAAGAAAGTCATGCTAAAACGGCGCTTCACTTCCCACCGCCCCCTGAAAAAAATAAAATAGATTAGTAGTCCTCCTCTCCAGAATCCACCTCCCCCCCGCTTTAATATCACATTTTCACTTGGCAGCCCAAGGGGGCCGGGGGTGGGAGGAGGGGGTCAAACTCCCTACCCCCCCCCTGCCGTAGATCTGCCCATGTTACCATCCTTTTAAGCACTGGCAGTGCCTTAGAAGGAGGTCACACGTTGCAGTCCACGTTCTCATCGTGCAAATCTAAAAGTCCCTAATATTGATTTACTGGTCGAGGTTCATTATTTGCTGACAACGAAAAACTTCTCCAGGCCATGACCATATGTTTCTGCCCTTGCCCGATCGCCTCCAGCTCAAGCAGACATGGCGCGGCAGCGTGCGCACGCACCGCTACTAACGGCGCAGTATGCCTATAACCACTGCTGACGGCGGCACTGCACTGCGAGCTGAATCGGTAATAATAGGCCTACTCATAAAACGAGAAATCTTGCACGCTAATCTTAGTTCCATTTCATTGGTTTAAGGTTTGAAAATTGAAACTCAATATTGTGTTAAAGTTATAACAGAAAAGATTATCTTTATTTTATAATTCCACCGGGGCGATTTTTAATTTTGCAATCGCCCCCGTGAGCAACCTGACGGGGGCGAATTTGTAGCTCACGGGGGCGAATCGCCCACCGCCCCCGTGTATTTTGAGCGCTGACCAGCACCTCCTTGGTAGAAGGATGGTAGTAGTCTAGAAACTAGCCGATTTAATTTAAACTTTATCTACCAATACAAACCCTCCTCTACCTGATGCAAGCTGTAGAAAGCTTGATCCTAGTACTTGAATGCCCGGCAAAAAACTGGGTTTTCAAATTTGTGTATCATGTCATATCTTTAGCTTGCAGCAGGTAAGAGAGATCGTGAAATATACGAGAGCTTATTAAAATAACACCGACCAGATTCTGGACTGTATTCAGTTGTAGAAGCAGAGGTAGCAGTAGTAGTTTTGTTGTCATTATTATCATTACACCATAAATGTTATGTAGTAGTAATAGTAACAGAAGAGATGGAGAAGAAGAAGAAGAAGAAGAAGAAGAAGAAGAAGAAGAAGAAGAAGAAGAAAAAGAAGATGAAAAATAAATGAGAAGAAAGACAAATAGAAGGAGAAGGAAGAATACAATTAGCAGAAGAAGATGAAAACAAAAAGAAGAAGATGAAGAAAGAGTAGCAGCAGCAGCTATGGCAGTCGCATGAGCACCAGCACTAACAGTAATAGTAGTAGTCAGATTCAGAAGAAGACATATAATCTCAAAGTGCAAAATTATAATTAAAAAATAAAAATAAAAATATTGGCTTACATTCACTTGAGCAACGTTTTCTGGATAAACATTGGCACAGATCGCCATGCCTGCTGTTAAAGTAGCAGCCGATCCAAGGGCTTCCACGGTACGAATTACAAAACAGTAGGTCAAGAACATGGTCTTACCATCGATCCTATCCAAAACCCTGTCCATGCAAACATAAAATTAATGTATAATATGTTGATGGGATTACCTTGATTAGAATTATGCTACTTAGTATAAAATTCCTTTTATCAAAATCTATTGTATATATCTATGTGCTGTATATTAAACACAAACTTTGTTAATAAATGTTCAAACCAAATCAAAATTGATGATGGCTTGAAAACAATATTGATGATGTTCACAATGAAGATGATGACAATGATGATGATGATGATGACGATGATGATGATGATGATGATGATAAAGATGGTGGATGATGATGATGTGATGGTGACGACAACGATGACGATGATGAAAATGAGGATAATGATAATGATGGTGATAACGATGACGATGATGATGACAATGATACAATGATGATCATAGTCCAGCAAGGCTTTGAAAATGCTTTGCTAGGTAAATGTTTTTTTAGATGATGTCTAACACCACTCACCCAAACAATATATTGCACCCAGCAGCCACAAAAGACCCACTCAGAAACATGAATTTTCCTCCTACGACAGGAAGCTGTAAGAATTGAAACAATTTTTTTTTTAAACATCAAGTAAATCATCCCATTCTTCCATATTCTAATCTTAAACTAGTGACTATTTCATCGAAAAAATGGAGGGGGGGGGGGATAGTTCATCAAGAAAAAAATCATCTTCATAAGTGTTCATGTCATTAGAAAAATCATAATTTTGTACAGGTTGTCTGATTTTCTCAAACTGTTTTTTAGTATTCTGCTTTCAATAAACACAACTGGGGAGGGGGGACAGAGGCGGATCCAGAGGGGCCCCACTAGCGAGTGATCACTACCCCCCCCCTGCTTATTCTCACAAATATTTTCTCATGAATTGGGCCCCCTTCCTTGCCACCGGCTGGATCCGCTCCTGGGGGGGAGCCCACGTTCTCCTAATTATACATAACCATATCGCACTAAATACGATTTAATCGTACTGGTTGGCATCTCTGTATGTACTTCGGCCCTGTTATTTGACAATGGCGTATCCAGAAATTGTTGGGTAGAATCCCCTCTAGAGAGGGTGATGTAAACTACCTGGGCAACCCCAACAGGAAACGATTTGACACTTGGCCATTGAAAGGTGGGGATTACATGGGCATTGCATAAAGAGATACAAAATACACCAATTGTATTGAATATAGAATTTGGTTCATTCTTGTGATTATGAAGGCTTTCCTACGTCATACTCACATATTTGCCGCATATCGGACATGCTATGAAACTGACGAGAGAGAAAATGCCAAAGACAAGCCCTGTTTCAGTTAGGTTTACACCTTTCTTCTGTGCCTATATCAGTAAGGAAGAGAAAGAGAGCGGGAGAGAGAAAGAGAGAGAGATAGAGAGAGAGAGAGAGAAAGAGAACAAAAATGAACAGGTTATTGAGATACTCATAAATTTCTGTATCTGGACACCTACCCCCTGGACATCCACCCCCAAGATAACCACCCCAGTCAACTACCCCCTAGGACAACCACCCCCTAGGACAACTACCCCCTAGGGAAACCACCTTCTAGGACGACTACCCCCCGGAACAACTATCCCCCAGACAACTGCCCCCTAGGATAGTTGTCCGGGGGTACGTAGTTGTCCTAGAGGATGGTTGTCGTAGGGGGTAGCTGTGAACGTGCCGCTAGACGAACTCACCAACTCACAACACTGAAATGGTTGACCGAATAAATAGGTAAAATTGAAAAAGAGAGTTCATGGAATGGCAACTGATCTAATTTCTTTTTTAATGTTGAGCAAGTATCAAGTTTAAAGAATGTACTAGGAGTATCAGAACAAAGCGCCACTACGTAGGCTACTCACCTCATAAGGAAAGAAAGGGGCAAGCACAGAGAATGATGTAAACACAGACATGTAGGCAATTGCGATCCCAACAAAGGTCAATTTCTGAGCTAGGGTCATCGGTGTCTTTTTTTTCTCATCTGTTCCATTCTCACCACCTCCTGCCGAGCTGTTTGAGTCATGGATGCTGTCTGAGCTGGATCCGATTCCTTTGTCAGGACTTTGCTCGAGATCATCAAAAAGGTCTTGGACTTGGATGTTCTTTGAATCATGGTCAGCATTGTGATTTGGTAGGAGTTTGTCTGCGTCGTCTGCCATAGTACATGTACATGTGGTGTACTACTGATGGTATCTGCTTGTTGTATGGGCATCCAATCCAGATCTCAATTAGAGCTAGGTCAGATTGCGATAGTTCAGAATCGGTCTCTGCAAGAGATACAAGGGGAAATCAATTTCATAAAACAAATCACAGAAATTAAGGTTAATCTATGCCTTGCAAATAAAACACATAATCATAATAATGACAGGCATTATGACGTATGCATATATTCCTCTGTTATTGGCAGAAATTGAATTTAGGCCCTCTGCGGCAGGTTAGAAGAACGTGGTAGCTAGGGAAACGAATTTGTAGTTGTTGGAAGAATGTCGGAAGGCCTACCAGTTTTCAACCTCCTTCATAAGCTTATAAGCTCCATAATAGGCAGAAAGTGAACTCTATACTATGACCTCTGTTAATCATCGCTTGAATATGTTCATCGGAAGTCTTCATGTGATTATGATATTATAACTATAATGGAAACAATTGGACATTTTCAGACTGAGTCAATTTGTGCTACACGAATGTCGGTATGTGGAACGTGTGTGACGACAATCGCATCGAGATCATTGCAAGGGATGGCATAGGTATGTCATTAAGTATGTGTGCACATTAAATGAGCAGAGACTTGAAAGAGCGATGAAGAGAGCAAAGAAGAGCTGCATGTGGAGTGTTTGGAACGAGTAGCCTAGTCTAACGAAGTTAAGCAGTTACACTGAAGTGATGAGTGACAGTGATAGAAAGGAGTAAAATGAATTTACACAGTAGCAGACGACATAACCTACACAGTAATACACTACAGAAGTCTAGGATGAAGACTAGTCACTGTCTATGTCAGATATTATTTAGACCCAACTACAAGTAGGCCTATTCCCACAAGGCCATATGGCATTAACATCCTCGATCTCCAGATATAGTCAAAGTGCCTGCAATTTCACAAATATTCTTGCTTAAATAAAATTAAATGAGAGAAATGAGGGTACCGAATAGAAAATATTGATTCTCATGGATCTAGATATAGTCTTGCAATGCTGAATCTACAATCTTCTATTTGCCTTTTTGGCTATTCCAAGGAATCTGAGGTGACTTTTTACAATAATTGCATTCAAATTGCAACATCAAAAGAATGGATGAAATTTGCAATCAAGTTCTTGAGTGGCTCATTATGGATCTTGAAACCCCAAAAAATCCTCTCATCTTTACTAAACTTCTGAAGATTCCATTAATAAATATTCCATTATCAAATTTAATGTCAGTAAGAAATAACTCGGGATCAATGTAGATCTAGATAGATCTAGACCCATTTTTTGTAATAATAGCCTAGATCTACCCCTCGATCATCCTCATGGGCGCTGGGCACATTTTTGAACAAAAATATTAGATATTTGTTTCACTACACTACACTACTATTACTTCTATCTGGGGACTATAGGGCTTAATTAGGGCCTAGGTCAACCCGATTTACTGAGATCCCTCCCAGGGCCCAGCCCCCTATAGATACAGTGTGTAGCAGTGATACATGATACTGCGTGAGGATGCCGATACTAACTGATTTTAACTGTTAGATAGCGCCCTGCCGAAGCCAAGACGCATGTTGCTACGCGTGAACACATAAGACAAGAGCGGCCGGGTCGGGATGAAGGTATGGATTCTATGCTAGATTTAGAGGTCTACCATGCATGTCAACAGTATATTTACCTGGAAAACCATCGAATGTATTGATTGGGTCCTGCCACTGCCGTCTAGAGAATCAAAGCAAGCGACAGAAATGAGCTTTCATTCATAATTACACCGGAGTCTTGACCCTCATTTTTGCGGTGCGATTGCGCAATTCAGACCCGGGCCCCGTCTTACAAAGAGTTGATATCAATCGTAAGTTATTTGCGATTGATATCAATCGTAACTATGTACATAAGAGATAGGAGACTGCAAACTTGCGATTGATTGGAGGACTTACGATTGATTTGGATCGATCGTAACTCTTTGTAAGACGGGGCCCCGGTGTGCGGTACCACCAGGGACCACCATGTACCACCATCCACCACCCCCCGCCCCCCCCCCCCCCCACCATGGAAGCATGTGTCGATCGTGCCCGCGCCCAGGTTCTGAAATTGGCCAGGGGCGGCGATTCCTTTTCATGACAGGGGGAGGGTGAAACGCGAGGGACGAGGGAGCATAGTGTAAGCTGTACTTACATGATACCAACCAAGTGCGTAGCCAGGATTTCATTTTAGGGGGGGGGGGGCGGTAGTGAGCACGCAAAGCGTGCAAATCACTTACAGAGCGCGCGTAGCGCGCTCCCTGGGGGGGAGGGTGCAGGGAGGGGGGAGTTTCCCCCCTCCCGCGCGAAGCGCGAAAGCTTTGAGGTTTCATCAAATTATAAGAGAAAGAAGACGATTCGTTGGACCATTCTCGACTCTTAATCCTTATCTAAATTCAGTTTCTGTTGACGTTTCATTAGAGAAAGAAGACGATTCGCTGTACCGTCCTCGACTCTTAATCTTTGTTTGAATCAAGTTCCCCTGCCTCCGCGCGTAGCGCGGAAGCTCTGAAGTTTTATTAGATTATTAAAGAAAGAAGACGATTCGTTGTACCATTCTCGACTCTTATCCTTATCTAAATTCAGTTTCTTTTGACGTTTCATTAGAGAAAGAAGACGATTCGTTGTACCGTCCTCGACTCTTAATCCTTTTTTTGTATCAAGTTCCCCTTCCTCCGCGGAAGCTGTAGCGCGGAAGCTCTCAAGTTTTATTAGATTATTAAAGAAAGAAGAAGATTCGTTGAACCATTCTCGATTGACTCTTAATCCTTGTCTGAATTCAGTCCTCCCCCTTCCCCTCCCGCGGAAGCTTTGACGTTTCATAAATTATTAGAGAAAGAAGACGATTTTGTACCGTTCTCGACTCTTAATCCTTATCTGAATTCAGTCCCCCCCCCCCCCCTCCCCTCCCGCGCGAAGCGCGGAAGCTTAGACGTTTCATTAAATTATAAGAGAAAGAAGACGATTCGTTGTACCGTTCTCGACTCTTAATCCTTTTTCTTCCTACGTCCTCTTCCTTTCTTCTTTTTTTCTCTCTTTTTTTTTGGGGGGGGGGGGGCCGGCGTTTTTTTTTTTTTTGGGGGGGGGGGCGACCGCCCCCACCGCCCCCCCCTGGCTACACGCCTGATACCAACGGAATACTGATTTTCTACAATAAATTTTGAAGGATCATCTAAAAATAATAGAGGGGGGCACGTCCCCCCATGTCCCCCCCCCCCCGGGATCGCAGCCCCTGCCAGCGGGACAATTACCCTCCCCCCGGCAAATAACCCTACGAAAACACCCCCCCCCCCCCGTGGACTGCAATTACACCCCCTGAAATTACCCCCTTGGACCATCACCCCCCCCCCCTCCCCTCCCATAGGACAATTACTCCCGGAAAAAAAATCTGCTTTTAATAAAACCAACTTATTAGCATGGTGGACTTCCCTTTAATGAACAGGGGGGGGGGGACAATTTTCATGTAATATTTTTGTAAATATTAATCTCATATTACATAATTATCCCGAATTCATTTTTATTGAAATGCATAAGATCACAATGTTTATGCGAGACGAAGTTTGTTTGATGGAATGCCTAATAATCGAAGAAACTGCAATTGCCATGATTGGGGGAGGGGGGAGGAAGCTCAATGGGGTTGTATGATGATCTTTACCGTTGCGTTTCCTTTCCGTATACTTTACCCCTCCCACCCCCCCTCTCTCTCTCTCTCTCTCTCTCTCTCTAACTCTCTCTCCCCTCTTCCTTTCCTTTCTCTCCCTCACTTTTTATAGCATTAATAATGTTTCACAGACTGCAATAATTAGCTCAAATACGAACATGACATTCTCTTTTTCACCTTTCATAACATTCGTTTCAAGCACTCCTTTTCTTAAATATAGTCCCTTTTACTCTAACTCTCTTTTAACTACTTCAAAATAAATTCAAGATTGATATATGAGATATCAACCAACGTCAACGCAGTGTATATGTGTATAATTGTGAATGTTGTAGATAATTCATGTGATATAAAGCTCCTTGAAAGGGTTAAAAAGAAGAAAAAACATCAACCAATGCTATTTAAAAAAAACTCGGTAACCTAAAAATAATAAAACATCAAACAAATTTCCAGGGTATGTTTATGGATTTATTTCATTTATCAAAAAAAAAAAGACCATGAAAATATACAGATTTTGAAGTTCAGTACAACCTAATCAATGTATATACCTCTGCAATATTTAGTTTCTAAAAGTAGTCCACAAATATTCATGAAGCATGATTGGTCCAAAACGTTTTAACAAAGGTCGATCAAAATAATATTTGATCCAAAAGAATAAATCCAAAACTATTAGTCCCAAACAAGTCCATGTCAAATAATCATTTCAAAACGATTAGTTCAAACGGTTATTCCAAAACAGTCAGTCCAAAACAGCTATATTCCAAAACACTTAGTCCAAATAAGTTATTCCGAATAGATTTCCAAAAAATCTTTTTCACAAACTAATTAGATTGGAACAGGGAGATGAAAACGTTCCATATACGCACCATTTTGAACTTGAGAAAGAAGAAAAAAGAAGAGGGAAAATTAACAAAAACATGAGTATGCAAACTTCTCATATCCCCTTTTCTTTTCCTTTTCGCAGAATAATGGCACTGGTCGTCATTATTATTTATAAACGATTTGTAAATGCCCCTCTTTTTTCTCATTGCAGAATATTGCACAATAGCATCGTCATAATTATGATAAAGATTGGCATAATTATTATGTCCCCCGTTTCCCGTTATTGCAAAATATTGCACTGGTAAATTCATATCACTATTGAACAAGGTGCATGTGTAAATGACCCTCTATTTTTGTTCTCAATGCAGAATATTGCACTGATAATCATCATAATTCAGATTCAGATTCAGATTCAGATTAATTTGTATTGGTCCATTTGGAAATGGTAATAGATGCAGTGGCGGATCCAGGGGGGGGGGGGGGGGGGGGGGTTGGGGGCGGGGGGCCCGGCTGCGAATTTTTTTTTCCCAAACAGGTTTACCTATGAGAGTAAAATCCTGCCTCCTGATTGGTTTAGAGGTATACGCATCATGAATATTCATGACTGAGCTGAAAGATACTAGTAGTATTACGCATGCGCGTGACACAAGGCGAAGCTGCTCATGCAGCAGCTCAGCTCATCGAAAGTTTGAGTTCGTTGATGCAGCGCAGCTATAGTACGTAGGCTATACACTGCATGCATGGATATATGCATGCGCAGTGATTGGCTCTAAGTTATAACTTTTACATGAGCTATTGTACCGGTATTAGTATTATGGCGGAGTCTACAAGTACAACTCTCTGCAATTTTGGTCGCTCTAAAGAAGAGAATACCGATTTCTTCTGCAAGAACCATACAAGTCTTTATGTAAGTACCACAATATTATTGTGAAATTGTAAATCGGCCCATCCCATACCGCCATAGGCGAATTTAGTCTATGAATTATGGTGCAGCAGTTTGGTTAAAATTGTTTAGGCCTAGTAGTAACGTTAGATCTAGCCTAGATCTAGTCTACTGTTAGAGCTAGATCTAGGCTAGACCGAATTTTCCGTCTCTTTCATTCGTTAGCCTCTTATTGGGGTAGGGTCGGCTCTCTCTTTAGAGACGGAAGCCGTTTATACACATGTCCTTGCTAACGCCACGGCCAGTTCTGGTCGTAGCGTTTTGCCCCCAAAATCCCCCAAAATGTCATTTTACCTCGAGCATGTTATATTGTAAATTAGGCCTAGGCTATAATAAATCAGTTCCACTTACCAACTTGACTGAAATAATCAGTTTAATAGTCCCTTTTTAGGAAATTATGGGTCAAAATCGGAATCCATGTTGAAAAAGATTTTCAAAATGGATTTCGATTTTGACCCATAATTTCCTAAAAAGGGACTATTAAACTGATTATTTCAGTCAAGTTGGTAAGTGGAACTGATTTATTATAGCCTAGGCCTAATTTACAATATAACATGCTCGAGGTAAAATGACATTTTGGGGGATTTTGGGGGCAAAACGCTACGACCAGAACTGGCCGTGGCGTTAGCAAGGACATGTGTATAAACGGCTTCCGTCTCTAAAGAGAGAGCCGACCCTACCCCAATAAGAGGCTAACGAACGAAAGAGACGGAAAATTCGGTCTAGATCTAGGCTAGTAATACCGTACTACTGAAGTAGATCTAGGCTACTAGTACCTACCGTATAGGCCTAGATTTAGGTAACTAGCCTAGATCTAGATCTACTACAGTACTTGATTGTCTAGGGTTAATTGTTGTGTGTATGTATGAGTATGAGATAGTAATGTTACATGACGAAAACTCGTTGTGAAACCTCCATTTGACTTTCACCAGTAGATTTTTAGGCACTAGAGCTGAGATTGTGATAAGCCCGAACATGGCCGAAGTAAACACTAGCGCTGTAATCCACCCCCACCGAGACCTTGATGAGGTGATAGTGAGAGAGAGAGAGAGAGAGATAAGCATGATACTAAAGGAAGGGAGAAGGGAGAAAGAGACACATGCAGGGGTTGCTGCCAGAGTTAAAATTGTTGTTACAGTAGACCCTATATCGCCAATTATGGGTCATTTTGCTTCGTTCGAACTTTCATTTTGGTCTTCATCTAACTTATTAGTGACTTTTGGACATGAAAATATCTTAAAACAAGTAAAATACTTATTTCCTACTTCTCATTTCCTTTCAGGCAGAGCCCTAGCCTTTTGACAAGGCCTCGTGACTCTAAGCGGCTGAGATGAGTCTAGATACCCGGAGTGAACGCGCGACCGAGTGACGGA